TTCTTTCTTTCTTTCTTTCTTTCTTTCTTTCTTTCTTTCTTTCTTTCTTTCTTTCTTTCTTTCTTTCTTTCTTTCTTTCTTTCTTTCTGCATATAAGAACTGGGGTACCAGCCAGAGGTGCGGGGGTGGGGGGTAAGAGGATTCAACAGAGACAGAGTGGGAAGCAGAACAGGCAGATCGACTGAATGCACTGCCGAGGGGAGCAGCAGGCAGGACAGAAGATGTCTGCTGTGCCATGTGGGTCACCTCCCTGGCCAGGGATCAAACTGGTGCTGTAGTGGCTGCGGATAGCTTCATAATGCTTCATTTTAACCCACCGCACCACCAGGGAGGCCCCTCCTTTTCTAACTTCTAATTGCTTTCCAATATTGCTTCTCCTGCGAAGTGTTTTATTCTCCCTCTGTCATGGAGAGAGAGCTAGATGAAACAGTTACCCAGACTATGTTTTCTCTCTTAATATGAAACCATATATGAGAAAGATTCTCAGGGCCAGGTGAGAACTGCTTTGCTTTTTCCTTTGCTGCAGATTGGAGCCAAATATCTGCTCCCACACTGCCATGCCCATGGATTTACTGCACAGTCTTGAGCAAGTTAAAGTTATAAATGTCATCTCAACATGATTTCTGTGTTTTCCTTAAATTCGTTTCTTGTTGGAAAGTGGAACATGTTACTAACAAGGGTAATGAATGAGTTAATTGGCAAGAAACATCTCACGATGTACCAGCCCTGCACCTGCTCTGTGCCTTTTCATCAGGGCTCACCCTGGGATCTGAGTACGCTGCTGTTCTGCTTTGCTGGGCCATGGGGGAGCTGCTGAAAGAAAAGTCGAGCGCTGGCCCCAGAGGCATCTGTAGAGAAGGGGCTGCCCTGTGGGTGCTGGCCCCTTCTCTTTACCTCCAAGCTTGCTCCATGCCAGTCTCAACCATGTGGGTGTTCACACCCTTCCTACCCCCAGTTCATGCCAATCCAGACTTTGTCTTTCCCATCAACCTCCACGCTTCGAACAACCTCCCTCCGATGGCCCCGTGGCCTATTCCGTCAATGCCTTCAGGTCCTTGCTGAAATGTCACCTCATACTGAAGTGTCCCAGGGCCACTTGAACTAGACTGCACCTTTGTAGTCTCCATGTCCTGTCTGTCTCTCTTGCTTAATGTACTGTCACTGGCCTAGAATTAAATTTGTTGTTTTCCCCACTAGAGGGAGAGGTTTGAATTTGTTTCCCCTGTGCCTAGAAGCATGCTTACGGGCTGGTAGTGAATGGTTCCATTTGTCAGTGAATGAGCAAGTGTTTCCAGCTCTCTGTCCCTCCATCCAAGGTGACAGAGCAGTATGTGTTTTAGGGTTTTGTACCTCACATTGCGCATGGTTTCAGCTTGATTCCTGCAGACCATCTGACATATATGTTAGAGGACAATAACTATTTTGTGTCTGTCCTGTGTTGAGCTCCTCGGGCGAGCTGAGAAGCGTGGATGACTGGTGGCGCTGGAGTCTGGGCACGCTGCTGGACGGCCTGTACCGGGAAATCTCTGCGGCCAGCGCTGCGCATGCGCAGGTGGGCTTTCCGGCTCCTCAGGCTGGTGTCACCATGCAAAAGCTGCATGGGCTGAAAGTGGGCGGGGGGCGCCTACAATGTGCTGTTCCTTCTACCAGCACGCCCTTGCCCCATCCCTCATTCCCTTAAGCGGTGCAGCCCTCTCCAGACTCCTGCATTTGCTTGAGTGGAGCTGGATAGAGCCGGATATAGAATGGGAGGGTGACAGGAGCGCTGGGGCAGATGGACACGAGATGGCTACCTACCAAATTGGTGTACCTTGAAACTAAGGAGGAGCAAAAGTTGAGACAGGGGGCACTCAGGAGGCGAGGACAAGGAAGCCAGGCTCGTCCGTGTCCTAAGCAACAGTTCTCCATAAACTGCATTTTGCACAATACCCCATGTTTTGCCTATCTTTTATTTTCTACTAATTCTTTGAACCAATTTACTTCATCATGCATTCCTCAAATGCTTCACTCAAATGCCCACTTTTGTTAAATTATGAAAACCGCACTTGCATCAGCCATTTTCCAGGACAGGACTGGGGAAGTAGCGACTGTTTTTCTAGGGATGTTGGCTAGGTCCTTAGATTCAGTTAAAAGGAAAGTTAAAATCTGAACTCTAGGGCCCTCCCTGGTGGCGCAGCGGGTTAAAGCACAGCACTGAGAATCTAAAGCCGCTTCAGCATGGGTTCGATTCCCGCCTGCCCCGGAGGTGACCACATGGCGTGGCAGACCTCTCCTGGCCCGCCCGCTGCTCCCCTCAGCAGTGTACTTCGTCAATCTGCCTGTTCTGTTCCCCACTCTGTCTCTGGTGAAGCCTCTCGCCACCCCTGAGCCTCTGGCCTGTACCCCAGTTCTGTATGCACAAATAAATAAATCTTTAAAAAAAAAAATCTGAACTCTAATAGGGCGGTTGAAGTTATCAGAGCAGCCCATGGCTTGCTAGCACTACTGGAGAGAGCACTAAGTTTGTGATGTCGAGTCATTTCGTTTTCCTTCTTCCAGCCTGCAGCCCTAGGAGGAAAGTGCTACCAACTCGGCCCTTTGGTCATTAAACAGCTAAAAGTTCTTCCTGGTAGCTCATGTGAGGTAAGATGCTCTTTTTCTTTTTACTGCTGAAAATGCAATGAAGCAGACATCTAGGAGCTACATGAGTAGGAAACACAGACCATCCGGGTAGAAAGGAAACACCCTGATTATGATGCGACTTAACGCTGAGAAGGAGAGAATTGGAGCCTTGACCTCCTACCCCTTCTCTCCCAGGTCTCTGCCTGCCCAGACATTCTGCTGCCCGTTTACACAAGTCACTCTTTGGCCCTTGAGAGATCTGGCATCCTTAATATTAGACACTTAGCTGTTTCATCTATCTTAGCTTCATGAAAGAGGGTGCAAAATGATGGGTATGACCTGTGTCACCTGTAAGGGAAAACTCTTCGATGTCCCAGCCCAGATGGGTGGGTACACAGGGCGTTGGATACTGGGTCCCTGATCAGCCCAGGTACTGTGAAGAGCCATGTGTCGGGATAGTCTGCACTCACCTGTGCCCAGGTACAGAAACCTCGGAGTGCTGCACTGACTTAGATACATGCATATGACTCTTCTTTGATTAGTATTTTTTCTACAGCTTCCCAATCCATTTTCAGCATTTACTGAGGACTCGCTTCCTACATTTAGAGGCTCTGAAACCTCTTCCTCCATGGACGCAGAGATCCAGAGAGTGGCCTCAAGCAGCTGCAGGGAGACCTGTGAGCTCAGCTTGGGCAGCACAAGGTAAGTCTGATTCAGGTGGTCGATTTCCTTTATGCCTCAGCTGCTGCTAACTGGATGGGACTGGACTACCTCTCCAGGGTGTGGAGTGGAATATCACCCCAGGGAGGCAGCGAGGCTTGACACCAATCACGAAAGTAGAATGCACACTCGGGCCTTCTGTCTTTAAGTGAACGAGAGGGATGAGCTGAACTTCTACAAGGTCTGGATGTCCATAATACAAATAGTGGATATTCATCACGTGCTGGCTTCCTGCTAAACTGAGTGTTTGCATGATCTCATTCATACTCCACTAAAGAGACTACATGAATTCATCAACCCGATTACTCTGGCCTTGAACATCAGGGTCTCAGCATGAATCAGCGCCCACATAGCAACCACAGTTCTCCCTCCTGGCACTGTCACCAACACACACCTCCACGGGATGACACTCAGTGGTATCACTGAGTCCTGAGGTGACGGGGAGCTCCATGGCAGTCACACTAGGTCCATGTGTAATTACAGCATATCCAAGAGCCTCTGGCATTTGACTGTGCCTTAGAATAATATGAACAACAACAAAAGTAAATAACTAACTTGTTCATACAGATTGGGAAGAGGGAGTTTTTTTCCAAGGGTGGAATAACAACAGGAAAGAAAAGTAATATTTTAGAGTCTTTGTGGAGAGGTACTCATGGGGATCAAGGACCCCCTCTGCCCTTTGGGTCCCTGGGCAAGGACAGGGGGATAGCAGACATTGCAGTGGTCAACAGAGAAGGACCACCTGAGCTGCTTTCTGAACCCAAGGTCTCCATCTGGTGTGCTGGGCAGGGCCTGGCTGGCTGCTCTCTTGCAAGGCCCTCCAGCCTGCTAACCTGTTCTGCTTCTGCAGACCCACAGTGCGCGAGGCCCTGACAAAACTCAGGGCTAGCAGATGGATGGATCACAGCACCAGGGCGGTGTCACTGCACTTCTCCCTCTATAATCCTCCTACCCGGCTCTTCTCAAGTGTGTCCCTGAGTGCAGAAGTGCTCCCCACAGGGGGGCTCACCCTGTCATCCATGGTGGAGTCCTTCATGGTCTTCTACAGTGACTCGGCCCAATGGTACCACCTCCTGCTCCCTGAGGTGAGTTTATTAACCCCTGGGCTGCTTACAAAGCACAGTGGCTTCACCAGGTCTGGGTGTTCTCCACAAAACAGGCCTCTGGCCCTGCTCTCCTACTCTCCACAGGCCCCTTTCACATCACTGTGAAATGACAAGTCATTCAATGAATGTGGGCACATAGTGAAAGGACTCCCCCCACCCACCCACACACACACACAGTGGAAACCAACACAGATATGTAACTAATATAAAAATAGAATGTAAATGTAAGCCTACAGAAGTAGGGGTATACTGTATCCAGCTCCTTCCTTCTGGCACACATAAAACAATAATACAATAAAGAAAACAAAAAATATGAGACAGCTATAACTTAAAATAATAGAGATAAGAAACGCTACAAATGATTTTAAAAATATAATTGAGGACTTCAATAGCAGACAGAAGGAAGCAATGGAGAAAACTAATGAGTTCAAAAACATACTGTTGGAAAGCACTAGAATAGAATAATGTGGAGAATAAATAATCTAAAAGAATGCAAACGGTGCCATAATCCTATGGGACTGCTTAAAGAGAAATAACATCTGTATTATGGGGGTGTCAGAAAAGGAAGACCAGGAGAAAGCCATAAAAAAGAAGTATATTTAAATAAATAATCCTTGAAAACTATCTCAATCTGGGAAACAAACCATATGTTATGGTCCAAAAGGGCCATCAAGTTCCAAACAAAATAAGACAACAATCAAGTCACATTATAATAAGGCTGTTGAGATCTAGTGACAAGGGTAGAATGCTAAAACAATCAAGAGAAAAAAGGTGACCTATAAGATAATGTTTCAACAGAAACATTACAATCATGAAGGAACTGGAGGGAGATACTTAAAGAACTTAAAGTAAATAAATAAAATTTCTAGCCCAGAGTTCTTTACCCAGAAAGATTAGCATTCAGGACAGATGAGTAAAGAGATTTACTAAAAGGCACAAACTAAAAGAATGTATCAACACCTCACAGGAAAGAAATTGTAAAGGGGTTAATATAAAGCAATGGAACAATGGATCTCAAGGCAGTAGGTCACTTAACATGCAGGAGGAAAGTAACAATGTGGTTCATCAGAAACAGTCTGGCCTACCCCATCCAATGGTAATATCATATGCTGACCTCAATAGAGTCTGCAAACAATAATGGAAGTAACATACAAGACAAAAGAAATGGAACCTTTTTTAAAGTTTTATTTTTTAATAGGAAGCACTCAAAATATTAAAAAGACAGGGCAAAGTAAAATAAAAACATGACAAAATCATAGTGAGTGCTTATATTTCAATAATAATCTTAAAAGTAAGTGGTCTGGGCCTTCCCTGGTGGCTCAGTGGGTTAAAACACAGCACTAAGAAGCTAAAGCCACTTCCGAATGAGTTCAATCCCCGCCCCGGAGGTGACCCACATGGTGCAGCAGACCTCTCCTGACTTGCCTGCTGCTCCCCTCAGCAGTGTATTTCATCATCGATCTGCCTGTTTTGCTCCCTACTCTGTCTCTGGTGAATCCTCTCACCACCCCTGCACCTCTGGCCTGTACCCCATTTCTGTATGCATAAATTAAAAAAAAAAAGTAAGTGGCCTGAACTCACTAGTTGAAAGATGAAGAGGAGCTAAGTGAATTTCAAAACAAAGTCTAACCTGCTGTTTACAGCATGCTCATCTTACCAACAAAGATAAGCACAGACAGAGTTCAAAGATAGAAGGGAGTCACATAAGAAAATGACAATAACAACAGGAAAAAAAAATAAAACAGTTATGTAATTATCTCATAAATACATTTCCAATTAATAGGAGTAGTAAGAGATAGAAACTGGCACTATACTACAATCAAGGATCTAATGCAAGAAGAAATAACTCTCAAAAATTATATACACCAAAAAATGGAGCACTGAGATAAATAAGGCAATAACAGAATGTGAGAGAATTTGATAACAGCACAATAATACTTGGTAACCTTAATAGATCACATACAGCAATGGATGGATCAAGAAGCCAAGACATAATTTAAGTGATGACAGCTTTAAGTGAGGAGCCAGTGGGTGAAAGCACAGCACTAAGAAGCTAGTAAGGCTGTTGAGAACTAATAAGTGAGCAGCCAGACCAAATAGGCTTAACAGAGTTTGCAAAACACTCCACCCAAGAAGTTCTATGTACACATCACTCCACCCAAAAAGTTCTATGTACACATATTTTTAAAATGTGCATGGAACATTTCAAGCATAGTCTGTATCTTGGGACACAAGTCAATAAACCCAAAAAGACTGAAATCACACCTAGTACTTTCTCAAGTAATGCTATAAAATTAGAAATGAACTAAAAAGTGCAGAACTGTGTATACATGGAGACTAAACAACATGCTGGTTAATAGCAGTTGGATAAATGAGGAAATCAAATCAGAAATTAAAAAATAATGACACAAACCAAAATGATGAATAATCTAGAAGAATCTATGTCTTGCAGCAAAAACAGTCTTCGCAGGGAAAATACTGCAATTTAAGCCTGTAGTAAAAAAAGCAAAAAATAATAATAAAATCTGCTGTAATATCTAAAGCAAGTTGAGGGGCCTCCCTGGTGGCACAGAATTAAAGTCTCAGTGCTATCAAGCTATCTCCAGCAACTGTAGCATGAGTTCAATCTCCAGCCAAGGAGCTGACCCACATGGTGCAGCAGACCTCTCCTGTCTCGCTCACTACTCCCTTCAACAGTGTATTACAGTAGATCCACATGTTCTGCTCCCCGCTCTGTTGCTGCTGAATTCTCTCATCCCCCTGTACTTCTGGTCTAAACCCTAGCTCTTGTATGCATAAATAAATTTTAAAATAAATCTCTAAAGAAATTTGAAAGAGAAGAGCGAATAAGATATGTAGTGAGTAGAAGGAAGAATTTCATAAAAATAAGAGTGGAAATAAAATAGAGTCCAAAAAACTATACCAAAAAATCAATGAAACTAAGAGTTGGTTCTTCATGAAGCTAAACAAAATAGATAAGATTCTAGCTAGGGTAACAAAAAAAAAAAAAAAGAAGAAGAAGAAGAAGAAGAGAGAAAATAAAATAAACAGATTGACAAATGAAAGAACATATCACCACAGATAGCAGAGAAATGCAAAAGACCATAGCCGATTACTATGAATAACTGTATGCCAAATCATTTGACTACCTTTAGAAAATGGCTTCCTAGCAATATTATCTGACAAGATTTACCCAAGAAGACACAGATGAGTTGAATAAACTAATTAAAGCCAGGAACTGAAATAATAATTTTACAAATTTTCTGAAAAATGAGTATCTTACAGATTACTTTATAAATGAACTTTACCAAAATTTTAAAGAACAACTAATGCCCACCTTACTCAAATTATTTTTTAAAATACAGAAGTAGTGCTCCCTGATTTATTTTATGATTGTCACACTACCTTAATACAAAAATTACCTAAGCACAAGGAAAGAAAACTATAGACCAATATCCCTGATGAGCACTAATGCAAAAACTTTCATTAAAAACTAGCAAATCAGGCC